CTAGACTTCGCTCTGCGCCTGAACATGGGGGCGGCTCCACAGAATTTCCTGCGCCAGGAGTCTCATACTAAGATTTTAGTACAAAGGCATATTATGCCACATTTGTCTGTTGTTTGTAAACGCCATTATAAGTGTAGTAAGATAGAAAAATAGTTGATTGAGACTCATGGCTTGATTGACAAACGCTGACGATGTGGGCCGGCAAGCCACCAACCCAAGCATTGGGATTTCACAACCTGCTAATGAGACTCAAAAATCAATTATCCTTTTCCTGAAGTACTGACCTCAGAAAAGTTTCTAAACCCAAGGAACTAGTAAGAAAATACAGGCAAAGGCAGGATCTCTGCCGTAAGAAATCATCACTCACTTGAAGTGGGCCATAAGTGATGATTTACTGTAGGCGTATGCAGTAGTGTGCAGTGATGATTATACACTCAACAAAATGAAGATAAATCAGATAAATAGAAGTACTATTCAAGTATTTATTTCATGTAATATTGGATCACATAGATGAAACCAAGCAAACGGATAACAATTTATAGTTAAAACAAAAATAACAAGTGGTGCCAGGCACAACAAACCCCGCCCTTCGCACATACTTTGACCTACTTTTCCGAAATTCAATAGGGATCTATTGTGGGTCAGTGACAATCCCTAAACCCAATTTGGGGTGAATCTGGCCATTAGTTTTGGTGCTAAAGTGTTAACAAACAAACAAACACAGAAACAAACGCACAAACACGCAAACAAACCGAACCAAAAACAATACCCCTTGCCCTCACCCTTTGGGAGGGTGGGGCGGGGTAATAATGTCCTTATGAAAAAAAAAGAAAAAAAGTCAGTATCTATTGTGGCCACCCTTTGCTTTGATTACTGCATTTAATCCTTCAGGCATACAGCAGTTTTTACGTATTTCGTTTTTCCCTCATTCGCTAAACCATTCCATATGGTTTGAAGTTCATTCCGAAGAGATTCTTTCGATGTTCCAACAGATTCAAACAATTGGATTATGGTTTGGACTTTGAGCAGGCCAAGTCATAACTTTTGTGTCACCATATGATTCTTTCCGACTGAGATAATTCCTCCACAACTTTGAAGCGTATTTAGGGTCATTATGTTGTTGAACATAAAATCCTGAACCAAACAGTCTCTTTCCAGATGGCAATGCATGCCTCACAAGGATGCTGTGACACTTCTTCTGATCCATGATTTCATCCATTTTTATGAGATCACTGGCTCCTTTCAAGCAGACTGAACCCTAAACCATAATATTACCACCTTCATGGTTTACTGAAGGGGTTAAACAATCATTTTGAAATGTTCTCAGCACACATAAGTTCTGCGTTTGGGTGAGAAAATTTCACATTTCCAAATGACTCGTTCCCAGTCCGTTGGCGTCCAATCCTTGAATTTCTTGGCATCTCAAGTCTTATTTTGATGTTGCCAGCTCTTGGCGGCAGCGTGACTAATCAGACCATCTTCACACAGGCGTCTGGAAATAGTAAATCTTGATATTTTCATCTCTTCACTTCTGGCGCTATTAATATTATCATGCAGTTGTCGTTCAGTCCACCGGCAATTTTTTTTTTTTACTTGTCATACACAGATAATGAACATTAGAGCCACTTAACTTCCGTTTTGCACCTCTAGTGGCATTACTTTTCAGCAAACCGGACTCTTTGAAATGCTTGATGGTTTTTTTTTATGGTGCCATGGCAGCATTTAACGTCTTCAGAAATTTTTTTAAGTGACCAACCAGCATCATGTAAGGCTACGAACAATCTAAGACATCTCCGTCCGTCGTGCCATTGTATTCTTTTTTTTAAATCAGGCAACTGCAATCCCACCCAAATCTGGAATGACCAATTAGCGAACTATGTGCACAAGCATGCTTGTATGCAACCCCATGTTGCTATCGCAGGAGAGTGAGACAGTTCAAGGCCCTCCTCCGAAGCACGCGCCTGTCAGCCGCTGCTGCATTTTACACTCATAAGCTCGAAACTTCACAAGTTCACAATGAGGGCGGAGGATCCTCGAGCATGTGAAGGCTTAGAATTTTACTGATGAATGCTCGGCTGGCTAAGAGGAGGTGCTTGAGCAATGAACAAATGCTATGATGTGTGTAGTGCCCAGACCCAGTTATTTGTATTGCAAGTTGTAAAATGCTGTTCGTTTTTTTTTTAATGTTCTTGTTCATGTTTTGTTTGCCCCTACGTCAATGTAAATGTAAGTTGTGGGCAATAGTAAATATTATTTTTGAATAATGTACAAAATAGAATGATGCCTTTTATTGAAGAGTATTATGCTATGTATTGATGCTTGATTTAAAGTACACATAACTAAACTAAATCAAACTTCATTTATATAGCACTTTTCATTCAAAAAATGTAGCTTAATACAAAACAGCCCCCCGTCTCCACTGTAATTGTTTGAAGTATGTATATCACATTGAGAAGTATTTGTCTACATGCTGTGCAAGGATAGTACTTTTTATTGACTAATTATTGACTTAATTATGACCATTCTCTCCTTATGGTCATAATTCTGGTTTAATGTTCCCTGCTCGATCTCTTCTTGCAATAAAAATCCGTCAAAGTATTCCACAGTTTCATTTTCAGCAATCCTTTGAATCCACCGAGTAGGGGTTAACCTTCGGAGCTTTACCAGAGCTCCGTTTGCCTCCCCGTTTTAGGGTTGTGGTCAGGCCTTCAACGTTACCATGGGGTACGAGGTCCCCTCCATACTTCACCCCGAGTGGCCATCCCCTACTTTGGGAAATTGATTGGGGTGCACGACGGGGATGTGGAGCTGGACTTTGCACCTCAAGCTTCCTCTTTGTGGAGAAGAAAGATGGAGGACTGCGTCCCTGCATCAACAACCAGGATCTGCATGAGGTTATGGTAAAGTACCGATACCCCCTCCCTCTGGTCCCTAGCACCGTGGAACAGCTTCGGGGAGCCATGTTCTTCACCAAGCTTGACCTGCGCAGTGCATACAATTTGATCCGGATCAAAGAAGGTGATGAATGGATGACAGCCTTTTGCACCACTTCTGGCACTACAAGTACTGTGTGATACCTTATGGGCGTGTTAACGTCCCGTCGGTGTTCCAGTCCTACATCAATGATGTGCTGAGAGACATGCTGTGAAGATTTGTCATTGCTTATATTGACGACATCCTGGTCTTCTCTCCATCCTACCAAGAGCATGTCCAACATGCACAACAGGTGTTAACATTGCTACTGGCACACAACTCTGTGTGAAAGCAGCAAAATGCACCTTCCATAAAACCACCGAGCATCAAGTGTATCAAGCATCCAAATTACAAACAAGTATCAAAAGTTAGCTACAAATGAGGTTTATGTTCACAACCTTCTGTTGAATGTCTCCTTGATATTATTTACTCTTTGTTATGGTTCTGTGTTTTAGCTGCCATGATTCTGGATTTTTGCCGTGTCTTTTCTTAATTCATTTTGCTTATTATACATCCCAGTTTTTCTGTTCATGCCATTTCTGTATTCATTGCCCTTGTCACCCCTGTCTTGTGATCAGTTTGGTTCAGTCCGTTCTCCCAGTCTGTGTGCTTACATGCTTCGGGTGATTTCAGTGGTTTCTGGTGTTTCATATTATTGCTTCTCCTACGACATTTTTTGTATGACCTTGAGATTGCCTTGCCCTTGCTGTTCTTGTTTTGTTCCTGTTTGGATTTAGACCCATTTTCTGTACGACCACGATTCCTGTTTTTGATGCCCTGTGATTGACCTACCCTTCTGGATTCAGACTACGATTTTGGATTACTATTTATGTACCGTTGCACATCTACTTCTCTGGTTCTGACCCCTGCCTGTTATTTTGACTTCGCTTTTTGGATTCTGATTTTTGCTTGGCAATTCCTGTGTCTTCTGGTCTCGACCCATTTTTGCAATAAAGGCTTACGATTTTTGGAATTTCTGTTCTCGTGTGTGGTTCCTAAACACACCGTCACACTCTTGCATATTTAGGACACAAACATTAGCAGCAGTAATTTAGGTATGTTAGCCGCAGTGCTACAGCCACATTCAACAGGCTATCAGGTTAGGTAGGCTTATACAGTAAAGCAACACAAAATGGTAAAACTTACTGCTTCCGTGTCTGTCGTTGAGTGACAGACAGTTGGTACCGATCCAGGCTTTATCTTCAGATATTTCACAAAGCCTGCGTTTGAGGCCAGTTGTTAGTGCTAACTATTGTTAGCGGTCCTGCTAGCCACCCGTAACACGTTAGCTTCACTTACATTATTTGCTGTTATATCGTTACTTACAGCTTGTGGCTCTGAGCGCTTGATCGATGCTACTGCTCCAGGTTTGAGAAGCAGCTAAGACGCATATCCAGCGTTTAAATGTCCTTTATTGACAAAGCTGTCTTCGGTGAAATGCTGAGCACAAACAGCTAACGTTCCCTTTGAGTGTGGCTGTTTGCTGCCAGCAAACAAAAAAAGGTTCCCACTGATTTCTGGTGGCATCGTCTTTTGGAAGACAAAATAGTTGTCCTTGTTTTTGCATCCTAAAAAACACCTACGAACAGCTTTGGGAGACATACTGATATATCTACATGTTAAATGATTTGTGCTCGTTTGTGTCTGATAGAATAAATTCCGGGGTGGGCAGGTCCAGCGCTGTGATTGGCTCTGGACCGGTCTGTCCTGATTGGACGCAACAACCTGACGTCAGGTTTTGCCCAAATCTCGTGAAGATCTCAGAACGAGCTGTTCAGAGAGGAAGACACGTTCAGGAAATCACGTTCTGGGATTACGGCAAAACCTTTGTATCTTATGTTTAGAAACTTTGCAGAGGTTGAGCATGGACATCCAACATTATAACATTACTTGTATGTATAAGAAGGATCAGCATAATTGGGGACCTTAAAAATGATCAAAGCTAGGTTGACCTAGTTTTCATTTTTGCAGTTTCTGCACATATTTCATGCAATAATCATTTAATGATTTTGGGTACATACGTGGGCGACCCGGTGGTGTAGTGATTAGCACTGTCACCTCACAGCAAGAAGGTTGTGGGTTTGAATCCGACCTGGGGCCTCTCTTTGTGGAGTTTGCATGTTCGCGTGGGTTTCCTCCAGGTATTCTGGTTTCCCCCACACACAAAAACATGCATTATAGGAACACTTGTACCAGTGTCCCTGACCAAGGAAGTGGCTTCAGAACTGGAGTTGGTCCCCGGGCACTGCTCAGTGGCTGCCCACTGCTCCTAACTATAGGATGGGTCAAATGCAGAGGACAAATTACCCCACGGGGTTCAATAAAGTGTATCTTATACAACTAAGTTAAATTTGCTTGCCAGTTAGTTTTGTGAACTGTAAATCTATCAATAGCATGATAATTCAGTTCTACACCATAATTCTGCTTGTTTTGAGAGATATTTCATAATAACCCTCGGAAACGTTACTGTACAACATTATATTTCTTGACAGATTCGATCATTAATTGATCACTAAAAATCTCAAAATCACAGAAACGATTTAGCAATGTTCCAAGTAACAGCTACTGTAGCCAGTTTCCATCAAGCTGTCTACCGTCTCTTTCTGGGCACATGTTGCTTTCAGCAGTGGAAAGCAATGTTGTTCCTGGGGACCCGCTGTGTATGTTGGTTTTTGCTCCAACCACAATTGTAATCTCAGGGTTTTAGCAAGCTGTTAGTATGTCTTAATTAGTGATGATACAGCCCAGGAACCAGAAGCGAGCAGTAATGAAAGTCGAGATCCTTTATTCAGTCCGAGTTCAAGCCAGAGATCACAGAAGTACAGCGCCACAAAACACAATCCAAAGCTCAGGGTCTTGGGACAGGCAGAGTGGGTCAGAATGGCAACTGTACATGAACGGTAGGCAAAAATCAGAGTCGAGAAAAGAGATCCAAAAAACCAGGGCAGCAAAAACAGGAATCGTAGTCAGGCGAGCAGGGTCAAAACCAGAATAACAAACAGAAGGGCACAGGCAGAAATCGGTAGTCGGGCAAAGGGTGTCTCAAATCTCTCAGATCTTACTGGCGTACGGGTCTCTCGGCACAAAAGAAAAGATCAACGTTCTGACGGGGAAGGAACAGAATGCAGGGCTTAAATGCACCAAACAGAAGTCACATGCTACGAGGTAACAGGTAGCAGGAGTGACAGGTAATGAGTAATGCAGGTGAGCACATGAGGGAGCCCTAATAAAATAATTGGCAAAAGCCAAGACGCGGACTGGGAACACATAGACAACCTATGACAGATAAACGACTCCGGTCAAGGAGTTCTACGTGCACAGATCAAAGAGTGCAGGATAGCAATAAAGCACGTGCGAGAGATTTCGCGGAAACACAGGGAGATAGGGAAAGCAAATCAAGGGGCAGAGATTAGAACAGGGCCAGTGCTGAGACTGCATTAGTAGTAATTAGTAGCGGTGCAATTTTACAAATTAACCCAAGTGCACGTTAGTTAGTTAGTAATATGTACACGGGTTAGTTAAGTTAGTAACTATAATACAAAATATAAATGTTAGTATAATTAGTAATCAGAGAAAGCAGAGTGAAGGAGGTAAACGAGAATTGAAGTAATTAAATGAAACACCAGAAACCACTGAAATCACCCGAAGCATGTCGGCACGCAGACTGGGGAGAAAGAACTTACCGCACTGATCACAAGACAGGGGTAGACACTGGTGCACAGAACAGTAAATAAACAAATGGCAAAACAGAAACTGGGAAGCCGGCTGATGGATAACAGATACATGAAAAATGAAAAATAACAAAAGCAGGTATATGGCATAGCAGAATCATAACAAATTAGGTGTATTTTCATGTTAAGAGTTGTTAATTACTCTCTTTATCCAAATTTTATAGAAACACCCATACATGCTATGAAGAATAAAATACCCTTGTAGATAGTATGTTTATTTCTATATTGCAAGTAATTTTAAGTAATATAGTGTTTTTAACAGATCAAATTAGACATTGAGAAAATCAGTACGCCACAAATTAGGTTGCTGGACACAAGCGTTTTGAGTTCTTTCAAAAAAATTAATGACAACTTAATTAGATTAACATAACACAAAACTGATTTGACTCATTTATCACTTGCAGTTTGAATAAATTTGTCATAATGTGCCAATAAGGTTTCACCAATTAGGAGCCTACTACTTCTTTAATTTGATTGGTTACATCATTTTCTCTCATTTTATGCTGTTATTTCCCACACAACACCATGAGGGTATGGTACTTTTTTAAAGGACCAGTGTGTAAGATTTAGACGGACAATCCGGCTGAATAACTGGCAGGAATGGAATATAATATTCAAAAGTGCATTTTCATTAGTGAATTATTTCCTGAAATTAAGAATCATAGTGTTTTCTTTTATCCAGAATGAGTCCTTTATATCAACAGTGTGAGCGGGTCCTTTTCCACGGAGCTCGCCATTTCGCACCGCCATGTTTCTACAGTAGCCCAGAACGGGAAAAAAGTAATTAAATAAAGCACTGACACAAGAGCGCGCCTTTCGCGTTTTTGCAAGTTTTGCGGCCACCGTAGGTTCTCTGAGAAAGGGAATGATCATTTGGTTGCAATCTATAATCTGACCACTTGATGGCTCTACTTCTCACATACTGGTCCTTTAAATTCTTGATAGCAGACACAGATATTTCTGTTAACATGAGAGTTAAGAGGGCAAATAACTGCTCTAAACATTAAAATGCATTTAATGAGGACAAATTAACAGCTTGTTAAAATCCTGTGATTACAACTGTGGTTGGAACAACAACCAGCATACACAGTGGGTCCCCAGGAACGACGCTGAATACCACTTGCTTACTGCATGAACCATAGAATGTTAGTTGGGTTTGATGGAAAATAATGCTTGCAATGGAACAAGTATGACAATTTTTGAAAACTGAAGGTGAGGTTTTTGTATTAAATTTTTTTTAAAATTTTGTGTATTAAAATTTCAGATTATATGCACTTTTTATCAAAACTCTTATCGGCTTTATTTCCGTGCTCGTTGATGTGTGGGACCGGGAGAATTATGAGTGCACTTTTGACGGATCGGTATTTACATTTGCTGTCGGCTCAGTCATCATTTGTCATTTTCCTGTCCTTTGGTGTGGATTGAAAAAGTAAGGTTGAGTCAGTAGTCAGATAATTTTTTTTTATTTTAATACAAAACGGTCGTTGAAATAATCGCAGTTTCGTTTTCCAAAACGAAGTGTCTACCAGTACGGGACCATATGGCAATTAGTAAAGTCTACCCGTACGGGAGTCCTGTATTCCTGTACTGCCAGTCCAATCGTATGGGTGTCCAGTATGCAAATGAGCAGCTGTACGGGAGGATTTTCGCGCGCTTGCTACTTGCTCGCAGGCATGCATGACACAATCATTTAATACTTTCACAACTTGCAGCCGTGTCCTAATAAACCCATAAATCAGTGACAAAGAATGAACGACTGCATTTGGTGAAGCTTCTCCATGTTTTGTCATTCAGTGCTTGTTCAATGCACAGAAATGCACAGGGTTGGTTGAATGCTGTCGAACGCCCTATATTTGTGCTCGTATACCGGCCTAGTGAGGCATATGAATGTTGAGGATGATAGTGTGAATTAATGACCTCAGTCTCGCCAGGCACTTAGGGGTGACTTGAGTATGCACCCACTGGTGACGGTGGAAGCCACAATCCCTCACAGCATGGGAACACGCACGGCATGCTCCTCTCAGCCATCCGAGACAAGTGTTAAGCTGTCTGAAGGTCAATGTAATGCTCATGCCGGAAGTCGAACCTACGCCCTTGCGCACTTTGAGACATGCATGATATAGGGAACATGTAAAACTTGCTTTCAGGATTTCTTTGTTTATTAATCAATGAATCAGTTTTGGTGGCATATTTACGTTCCCCTGCTGTAGTCAGCAATTACTCAATCAACACATATGTAAGAGATTCTCACGCAGAACTGAAGTCCTTATGCATGGAGGTTTATCATTATCATGCGCGATTATGACTCTGGACTTCTCACGCTTTTCTTTACTCAGGGGTTAGAAGCAATGCGTGCGTTTCATTATCGTTTAAATTGTTTAAATGAAACAAGATCATTTGAAACGTCTTTCTTCAAATGAACACATTTCATTAGAAATAAGCGCTTTCATAGCGCTAACAGTGTGAACTATCTCGTTCTACAACAGTGGGGGACACAGAATTGGGTATTGGAAGCACCGTGAAAAACCGTAAACTTGGTTGTGGTTATCATCCACCATGGCGGACTTTGGGTTTGCTAAATATGCGTGATGTCACGTGCACACGAAGAATATGGGTGGAAGAGGGAGGCTTTTATGAGAACAAAACAGACACATAAGCGTCCCTGTTACGACGGTAACTTTCTAAGGCACGCCGCAAATAAATTAGTAAAATATAGGCTAAAGACTCAGTGGTTGCAAGGGCTCTAAGTTCATACTCGTCTTATTTTTTAACCGTAAGAAAAGACCCCGGGCTATAGCCTAGTAGCCAGGCTCTAAACATGCCCCTGGTATATGATGAGGCAAACAAGACAGATTCATACAAATTTAACAGAATGCCAAACAAAGCCATGAGAATCTGCTGTGGTGTTTTGCCAACACCGACTAAGCCAAGCCAGATAGAGCTAGGAGAAGAACCTTTACATCTAAGAGAGAGATTTATGGTCACATGTTGGAGCCGTCTAAAGGCCCATTTATTCTCAACGTTAAATACGGATCCGGATACGGACGGAGCCTTCTGTCCGTACTCCGCGTTCATTTCGTCCGTATTTCTGCACGTTTCCACAAAGCTTACGGATACGGGCCAAACGGAGCAGTACCACCGGACACCGTGGGGGCAGTGTAGCTTTTGGTAAAAGATAAATAAATGTGAGCGAGACACGAAAAAGAAAACTCACCGAAGATATGGCTGCGTCCGAATAGTTAAAAAATTACGGGCTACCCACTAATTCCAAACCACTTTTCTTTAACCTCTGAGGAAAACGTCATTAGGTAAAAGGAAGGTGTAAAGGGGAATTCCTAACGGCTTAGGAAGACAACCGTGCTAAGTAGA